AAATTGTCTCTCTCTTCCAGCTGCTTCTTTGTCAGTAACGGCATTAGCATCCTCTCGGTGATACCGAAACGGCGGAACTGGTTAAAGATTGTGGCATTTTTGAGGCCCTGTAAGAGAAAGCTCGGCCAGGGATGCATGCGCCGATTCTTCAGGCAGTCGAACTCCTGATCCAGTGCCAGTTGGCCGATCACGTCGTTGAGTGTCCACAGGAACCATTCGACCATGTTTTGCGAGCCATTTTCTTTGCACGCCTGGGTTAGCTGCGTGCAGAGTAAGTCGACGTAATGTTGCATCACGGGCTCGACTTCTAGGACACCCGAGTTCAGGAACGCAGGGTTTGCAAGGCGCCGCAGTCGGGTGTGCTCAGCGTCGCTGGCCATGATCATGCTCTCGGGCATCTTGCGTTCATCAGCCGGCGGGAAGTGGAAACGAGTTTTCTGCAGCTGAGGTCGAGTGTTGTAGATCTGTGGCCAGGCTTCGGGTTTTGTGAAGGAAAGTTCGTCGGGCGCGATGCGGACTATCGGCCCATAGCCATCATGTATGGCGTCGATACATTTATACAGATCGCCACATGCCTGGTGCCAGGAAGCCGGGAGGCGGGAAGCTCTCCAGAGCAGCGGGCCTGGGTATTTGGCCAGCGGGTGAAAAGGTGAAACATTGTAGATGAGTCGCAGGACTAAGAAAACGACAACCTAGAGGAGTGAAAAGGTTAGCACCGGCCTCGAAGCCATCCTTGAGGTATGTAGTTCAGAACGTGGCTCACTGCCGCGAGAGCATATATCCAACACCAGAAACCGAGCAGCGCATAGTGCAGGATAGAACTGATGTCGATTGTCATGGCCACCTATTAAACTGCGTCAAGCAAAAGAGACCAAAATCTCGAGCATCAATCGTAGGCTAAACCGACGCTCCTAATAAGGCGGTAGAGGATATGAACATCGTCTACATTCGCATATTATATAAGGACATGGACCCATCTAGGATCTCAGCTGCCTTCGAATTACTCATGATCTCTTAGTGCTTATGATCCAGGATGGAAAGCGGGGCCTGTTCGATGTCTGGACCGAATAGTTGTAGACATGGCTGGCCTAGATGTCTTGGAGTATTTGTACCTCGTATTCGCCATCATGTCTCACTCTGTGCTGTTCTGCTATCTGTACAACCTGAGAAATTCCACCAAAGCCATTATTGCCATCGCTGGACCATACGGCATACTGGTCCGTTCGATATCCAAATAATGCTTGAGATCGTTTCCCATCCCTGTTCCGAAGCTCACATCCAACAGTTCGCCATCGTCGCCGATTCGTTGTATCACAGCCCTGACGGCCTTCATAGCGACGTCCATATATTCCTTTGAGATGTATCGCTTCCGTATGGATTTCAGAAGACCATAGGCAAATCCTGCTGTGGCGGATGCCTCCTGATAACTACCGTCCTTCTCTGACACGTCGAGCAACGTCCGCCACATGCCGTCAACCGTCTGCAAGGTGCGCAGAGTTCTGCATTGTGCCTGCAAGACACTGACCAGGTACAACCTTAGGCCATCGTCCGGAGGAAGGTCCAAGACCTCAATGAAATCCGGAATAGCAATCGTCACCCAACTATTCCCTCGAGCCCATCTAGCTCGCGCAAAGTTATGACCTACTGTACCAGGCACTTCGTCAACAAATTGCCAACCGTGGAAGAAGAGGCCTGTCTGAGAATCGTAAAGGTACTGGATGTGTAGCAGGAATTGTCTTTTTGCTTCTTCGACGTAGCAGGGCCGATTGAGCAGTTTCCCGATTTTTGCCAAAGGCATGACCGTCATCATCAATGTGTCATCCCAAAGTTGATTGTGGTTCTCTTCGAGGTACGTGATATGTTGCATCCCCCCAAAGGTAGTCCGAGGCAAATCATGCATTGCCCATTCAGCCCATGAGTCCAGCCAGGGCAGATAACTTCGTTCCCTGGTCTCTTCGTAAAGATATGCGAGAGTCAAGAAAGTTGCCATGGTGTTGATGTTCTTGGTGGTTCCCTCGGCTAACCTCGCTCCAAACCAGTCTTGCATGGTCTTCAGCGCCAGTGGTGAGGAATTCAGCGCATGGTATTGGTACAGGCCGTACAAAGCGACGCCATGTGTCCATTCCCAATCATTCCATCCCTTGGTGTCAATAGTCCGTCCGTCAGGCAGTTTCAGAAGGAAATGCCCCGTCTCATCCTTGATGTTGACGAGATTGTGAATCAGCAATTCGATCTTTTCTGAGAGATCTTTGGCACTTAGTCCGTCGATGGTCAAAGGCGTCGGCATGTTTTCTCCCTGCTCTGCTCCTGTCTAGGACTCCAATATCATTCTTTACCCCTTTTATCGCTGCTGTTTCCTGTCAAGAATTTTTTCATTGCCCTGGCATTAAATGCACCGAGATGGGCCGACAATATGATGGTGGCTCCTGCAGCCAAGATTTGGTGCGCAGGAGAGCACCTCTTTTCCGGGGTTCTTGCGCCCGACAAGGCGCAGATCAACCTAGCGAGACGTGGAGAAGCTTGATGCAGAACCTCCACCAGCAGCGGATTGAGGCAAATTCCGGAGGAGTTCAACCGAACAACTCACTTTGTCGCAGAGCGTCTTGTTCTCATCAATGGAAATCACAGTCGTATTCGGTTGAACCTCCGCCGAGGTTTTCGTTCGCTTTTATCCCGAGTAGCATGGAGGGCAACTTCAAATAGAAATATGGTCCACATCTGGGAGACTCTGAGGAGGATCCATACTTCCACCAAGCCGGAAATCTCGAGTCATGTGCCCTGAAGACTGAGAAGAGCCATGCCTGGATCAGACAACATTGTCGCCGACACCGTTACCTCCACAGATGGCACCCCGAAAGGTGAGGCAGAGAAGCAGGACATCTCCCAAATTGAGAGAGTCGTGTCCGGTGGCAGCGATCTGCAGAAGGACCTCATCAATTATGACCGTATCGACAAGGACGTCGCGAAGTATGCGAACGCAACTCGCGTCGAGATCTCAGAGAAAGAAAATAGGCGTCTGAGGCGGATGATTGACAGGCGCATTCTTGCTGTCATGGTTCCGACCTACTTCCTTCAGGCTCTTGATAAAGGAACCATGTCGTTCGCATCGATCATGGGCATTCGAGAAGACCTCAATCTCCATGCACAACAGGTGGGAACTCGTCCCCGATTCCGGGTGCAGGAACTGACCACCGATTCTAGTACTCATGGCTCACAACCTGCATCTATATTGCCGTCCTCATCGTAGAGTATCCCACAAACTGGACGATTCAGAGGGTGCCGATTGCAAAGTATCTTGCTTTGAACATTTGCCTGTGGGGGACCATTCTTGCTCTCCACTCTACTGCGAACAACTTTGCCACGATCGTAACGTTGAGGACATTGCTCGGCATCTTCGAAGCTGTCTGCCAACCCAGTTTTCTCATCCTCAGTAGTATGTGGTACAAGCGGGAAGAACAGGCCGAAACCGTGACCTACTGGTACATGATGAAGTAAGTCTCTCGGAAACCCTATATCAATTGTCGCAGAGGCCTTCCAGGTTTCTTGTCTTTCGAGCTGGACATTTTCGATGTTAACGACAAAACAGTGGAGGTCAGCAAATTGTGGGTGGTCTCCTTGCATATTGCTTCACCCAAATTCAGTCAGGCCCTCTGAAATCGTGGCAAGCAATTTTTATTACTTACGGATGCTTCTCCGTGCTTTGGGGGCTTTTTGTGGGCTGGTGGATGCCTGATTCTCCGATGAAAGCCAAGTGCTTTTCAGAGGAAGATAAGAAGTTGATGGTGGAAAGAGTGAGGAGCAACCAAACAGGACTGCAGAACAAGAAGTTCAGGCCTGAGCAGGTCAAGGAAGCATTCCTGGATCCGCAGACGTACTGCTACTGCCTCATCCAGATCTGCACAACTCTGCCCACTTCTGGCCTCGGTGCTTTTGCGAACATAATCATTACAGGTAAGTACGGAAGCACACCTGCCAGGTCTGGAAATACTTACTTCCATCAAGGGTTCGACTTCACCGTCCTACAGACACAATTACTGGCGATGGTCCTGGGCGCCGTAATAATTGTCATTTTGCTCACTTCGACCTGGCTCGTCAAGAAGTTCCGCCAGAATTGCCTGGTGATGGGGATTTTTGTCATACCGTGTGATATCCCCATCGTCCTTCCCTGTATCTGGCTGACGGGATGTTAGATCTTTCGTCGGCACCATCGTTTTGATGAGCGTACAGAACACCGACACGGCAACAAAGGTGGGACTCCTCTTCAGTTACTATATCGTGCTCTCGTTCTGGGCTGCTCAGACATTGGCGATGAGTATGATTTCCCGAAACGTGGGAGGACAAACGAAGAAGTCGATCGTCGTCACGATGAATTTTGTATCCTGGTGCACAGGGAATGCCGTTGGTATGTCAACTTCACCGCCACCAACAACGACGACATTGAATCGCTGACTCTGCATCACCAGGTCCGCAAGTGTTCCTATCTTACGATGCTCCGCGTTATTTCATTGCCTTTAGCACCCATCTCGGCTGCTATGTTCTTCTTGTTTTGGTGATTGTGTTCCTCTGGTTCCATCTCAAGCGGCAGAATCGAAAGAAGGATGAGTTAGCCTCTGCCGGGATTCGAGAGGCCATGGATGAGAATTATGTGCACGCATTCGACGACTTGACGGACCGCGAGAACCCCAACTTCAGGTACTTATATTGATGAAAGAGGCAAGGGGTTGGGCGCAGCAGCCAAAGCTGGACTTCGGGAAAGCAATTGACGAATGTCCGATTTGTTTCTGTCTGATTGAGAGTCGAGGTTCAAGAGGGTTCAACGGGTTCCTGCCAAATCAGGCAAGTCAGGCCAGTAGGATGGGGAAAGTACGACGTCAGACGATTGTAGCCACGTTGCCCTGTGCGACATGCTCGATAAAAACAATGAAGTGCCTGTACTGTGCACTGTGCACAGGCCTCATCGCTGCGCTCATGAAATCCCTCAACTTGGTCGTCGTCGTATGATGGCGAGGCGCTCATCTTCAATTCCAGCTTCCGTGCACGACGGAGCAGAAGTATGCGCCGTCCAACACTCATCTCTGCTTTCTCTGCGGCAGCAGCCATCTTGTTCGTCTTCTCCTTCTTCACTTGCTCCACCGCTGGCCGACATCTCCCAAACTCACGACTACAACTTCTCGGGCGCCGTCTACGATGAAAGCACCTCAAACTCGGAGTCAGAGTCCCTTTCGCAGCCGGACCAGGGGTATGAAGACAGCATTGCCAACCACCGCGTCGTCTCAGGATGCTCATCGATTTCCTCTTTCCCGACAACAATATCACAATCCCTGCCTTCGAGCCGAGAACAATATGATGGCTCTCGTACACCTTCGAAACGCGACTCATTTGGTTTCTATTCCTATGAAAGAGCTGCGCCCCCCCGCCCCGCTACAACGTCTCCAAGAAACATCCGAGAATACCACTCCGCTTTTCGTCATGCCAGCAGTGTCAAAGCTCTGCAAATGAAAGATGAAACCATGAGTGACACACACAGTGTTATAAGACACCACAGACGGACCGGCTCACAAATGTCGTCATACAGTCAGAGGAGTTCATTTTCTATTCAGACATCTCCGACCAAAAGATCAACCCGATCTCACCACACCTCCCCCCTGAAAGGGGGCACCAATCTCAAGAGGGAATTCCCCCTCATACTCTTACATTGTACATTATTGCCACCCAATCAACGCTTCCAACCCTCGTCTCAAGAAAATGCAAATCTGCGCGAATTGTTGCCAGAAGAGTACAAGCAGCGTTGGATAGCTTTGCGAGACAGGCTGACGGATGTTGAGATCAACAGCAGAGGGGTACTGATCCCTCACCCTAGGGATGATTATGGACTTCTGGAAGAGCGACTCTTGGAGAGCTTGGAACTTGAGAAGCCTCGCATCCAACACAACCATTACTTCAACGCGGGTGGCAGTAGCACAGACAGCGGGTTTGAGAGTGGGAGCCTTACCGACGATGAGGCTGATCTTGATGGTTCGGCTCACCTCAAGTGTCCAGACTGTGGGGGTCATCTACGCCCAGAAGAGAGGAACCGCAGGTGGGATGTCAAAGTTTTTGCTGCCAATGGCCTAATGCGGGCTGGTGCATGGGCTGCAGCATGGCAAGAGATGGAGAAGGTCGACGTGGAAATCAATGTTTGCCTGCCAGAAGAGATCTGCCAGGAACTCGAGGCAAAGCTTGCATTCGTCAACGATTCGCAGGTTGAGACAAGCCCGCTAGACTCCGGAGAAGCAATTCGAGAGCCTGAAATCATAACTTCTCGCGAACGAGAAGTCTACGGAGAGTTCGGACGCCTTGAAAGTGAGACGGATACGATCAACTTCGGAAAGCAACCCGTGTTGGAATCGGAGCCTATGCAGCCACCACCTAGCTCAGGGTCTTTCGAGCAAGATGCGCAGGCCCAGATGGCTGGCCATGGCAGGCAACTCACCAAAGAGACCAGAAATCTCCTGATTGGCGTCCTGAGCTTCTTGGTATTGTTGTTTGCATTGGCAGGCAGGCAAGAATCCAAGAAAGAGAGCCCCGTACCCCTATTGCAGTTTACGACCCGACTGGGAGAAGTGCTCACCACCACAGTTACGACGACGAGCATTGCTATCTCAACAGCAACGGTGACAGCCTCTATCATTGCACCGGTACCATATGAGTGTTCCCTGTCAGAAAGGGCCGATGATCTGACGGTGGTATCAACGGAAAGCTTGACTGAACTACCCTCAGCAACGGATCAACCCCGTCCGCCCCCAGAACCCACGCAGAGGGATACAAGCAGCCCAGACATACCACTGAGAGTTGAACTAGAATATGGCCAGAATGATTCCAGCTTGGCATCCGAACAAGGTGGCTTGGAAAATGAACCCGCTGAATGACTCGACTCGACGGATATGGCCGAATAGTGAAATGAACCAGAAAGGGAAGTGAGGCCATGCACGGCTCAAATGATTTTTTTGGACATGGTGAATGGAGACTGATCAAAGAATCCCTCAGTGGCTGCCGGGGATACCGAATGAGTTGAAGATGATTACGTACGGTCAAACCGGGCGTCAATGGTGCCAACAATGCGGCTGACTATGATGATGTGAACGTTGGAACGTTAGGCTGATGGTTTTATATTTGATGAGAAGCGATTGGCAAACATGTGGCATTCTTTTCCGCGGGCGGCAGCTCCCCTTGGCGCCTTCAATGGCCCGTTCTCGCCCGATCGCATTTCGGTCCCAATGCTCCCTCCTACCTTCTCTGCCTATAATACGGCATAACGACTTCAATTTCTCTGCCGATTATGAGTCAAGCGGAACCTCACCGTGAACCTTGTCCGGTCTTAAGGTCCCTCCCGCAGAGGTGCTGGAATTCATTTGCAGTCAGCCGGAAAGAAACCACATGGACATGTCCCAGTCGCGGGGGAAGGGCTCCAGGTAGATGTTAAGACACAATTGCCGCAACAAGACAATGTCCGGCTTTGGTCAGCTGAAGTGACAAGTCTCTTTTTGCGCTTCTCAGCTCGCAGAACCTGACCACTTACTGTCCGGCGACATAAGGCTGAGGAACTCGCCATACGAAATTGGCGCGATTTTCCGGTCAATCGAACCACTGCCGAATCGGTCCGGAATGCAATTGTGGGCCAAGCGGCCCCTGAAAACCAACGTTGTAGGCTGCTCGGCTGGTAATATTATCTTGCAACTCGTCTCCTCCCAGATATAAAAGACTTCCTCAAGTCTCTGCGATTGCCCGTCCGTAGTCGCCAAAATATACGCTCGGAACAAGCACGTCTTCTCGACTTGCTGGTTGCCCACGTTCGAAGCGCAACATCTTGTTGCCAAGCAGCCAGATGGCGTCGCCAAGGCTTTTTGACCTTCCATTGGAGATTCGTCTCGAGATCTACCGTCTCGTATTTGGCCATGGAAAGGCCGTCATCCAGGCCGCAAGCGAGGATGAGAGTTGCGCTCTATTGCCCCAGCTCACAAAGTTCGGGAACCGCTCGACAAGGTCGTCTCAGCTCTTGAGAGTCAACAAGACGATCCTCTTGGAGGCGCGGCCAGTCCTCTATGCCAACACGGTATTCCATGTCATCAACCAGGCCTTTGCGGGAAAGTTGCCAACCCGGATCAGCGACGGTCATCCATGTGCGCCGCATATCAAACACCTAATTTGGCAACTGGATTGTGACATGCTAAAGCATTTTTACCACGAAGACCTTCAACTCGACCTTGCCGAAGTCGGCCATTGGAGCAGTCTCGAAATACGATGTCGAGCCGAGACGTGGCGGAACTCCTTTCTGGGCGAATGGTGTGATCGGGAGGCTTTCGTCAGAGGCAGGTCTCAACTGGTTGAGTATGCTCAAGTGTTTTACCATGCCATGAGCAGCCGCAAGGGAGGAGGGAGAATCACCTTTCTCGAAGATCGAAGTCAGTTGGGCCGTGGGCGTATCATCTTGAGACTGAACAGTGGCCGAGTTGGTTCGGCGCAACAGCAGTCTTTGGATGAATTGTTGATCATCGCCACACCATAATCCAACGGCTTGGCCCCCTACTGATTCTACATCGATGGAGGTTCAGCGTGCTGGGCGAAGTGACGACACGGTGGTCAACTTCCGGCCGATGGGTCTTGTCCAAGCTGGTCGGTCCCTTTTCTCTAACGGCAGGGTGTTAGCTCGGAGCGAGGTCCCAATAACCTGAGAACGGTCGAACGCCTTTCTGCCAATACATACCACTGCGGGATATTATTCTTCGCCCGCAGGGTACAGGGTCTCAATTTGAAGAATACCATCGTGTGCTGCACCTGTCTCTCTCGATTCGATGCCTTGCTGAATTGTGGGACAATCTCAAGGGTGGGAACGTCAGGGTCTTTTAGGGAATGAGAGCTTGGTCGAAGAAGGATGGGCGACTGACGCGGCGATCAAAGGTCTGTGGGGACATGAATGAATGTAAACACTTGGAGGGATTGTAGGCAGGCGGTTTGATGTGCGGCAGATTGGCTTGAAATAACCTAGTTGCCCAGACGATGGGCTAGATCTCCGAAGTTCGAGTTCGGTGCGAGGCCAACATCAAGGGTGGATTTTGCTAGCTGGTGGCATCGTTAGATTGTGAGCGAGCCATGTTTGAACGGGCAGGGCAGGAACCGGCCTAGGTATGCGCTTGTGGATAGATACAAAGCCATTGAGACTCTAGAGTCCGACGTGGTGCGGGAGTCGCCGACAGCAAGAAACAGCGGAAACAAAATGCCCACAATTGGCGACAGCGGGTATGGCGGTGACGCAAGAGAAACCCAGATCGCTCAGGCGCGACCGCAGCCATTTTGCCCTTTTCCCTCTAGTGGCACTAGGGCACTGGGGGACTGGAGCAGAAGCAAAGAGTAAACGGTACCAGTAACAGTGGCAGGACCAAGACTACTACCAAGTACAAGGTACCTCCTCCGGTACCCGAGCACAAGTACTTGGTAGGTTACTGGTCTGGCCCGCTGGTACTAAAACCAAGTACCTCGTACAGGGGGTAGAAACTACTCTGACCCACCTCCACGTTTCTCTCTTCAGATACTTCTAGAGCTGCCCTTTCGGGCTTTGTTGTTGAGGGGCGATGGATTTGGATTCCTTTCCCGCAATCCTGAGATTGGACAGTCTCGAGGTCCGAGCTTCACTCGGTGCCGTCATAGGGAAGGCCTTTTCCGTTATGGTCGTTTATCAGCGTTGGAGTGGGTGTTTGTTTTGTTTTCCTTTCTTTCACTTGTCCCTTGTACTCCCTACCGCGTACAAGTCTATCTCATCAGCTCATTTCACTTCCGCCTCAGTTTCCCTTCACTGTCCTAACAGTTTGGTGACCATTTCTCTCAGAAACATGGATCGAGCATAAGTCGAAAAGCCCTTTTTGGTGGGCGAAGGCGAAGGGTGTTTTTCAAAAATCGTACCACCTGTAAATCCTCCACTACCTAATATGCATGGAACTAGTCGATCGTACCTAGGTAAGGACAAGCACGGAGTCCTTGGTACACGAGTTACAAGTCCTGGGTATGTGTGCATGTACCGACAGTGGTAGCGGTAATTTCAGCCTTGGTGGAGGAGCGGGTGTCAGTCGAATCTCGATGGTGTTGATGGCGGCGGCCACCAGTGTGAGTTAGTTCCTGCCAATCACTGATCAACTGATTTCCAACCCTTGACAATGTGGCTTTTCTCTCTTCCACCTTCCCCTCTTTTGTTTTCGCCTTTTTCATTGTGCTGTTCCCTCCCTCTTCATCGCCTCTTCCCTCTGGTAAACGTACTCACTGTCCGGAGAACTAATCCTGTTAGCCTGTTACCTGCAGCTTCTGCTCCCCTTCAATGGCCAGTTGCATGCCCGCCCTCCTCCCTCCATTTAAAAGGCCTTGCATTATTTGCGCTGCAATACATCCGCCGCTAACTGTTGTCGGCTACTCTGTGTAACCTGCGATCCACTGCCACCCAATCCCTCTGGCTCTCTTGACTCCCCTGGGTCCCTCTGGTCACTTTGGCTTCACTTTTGGTCAGCTCATCCTGCCTCTACCCCGCAATACCGAGTACTCATGGCGACTCCCTCGTCATGCACGCCCCGTGCTTCTCACCTTCTATTTCGCCAGCGTGTTCATTCCTCGCTACTCCGGTCCTAGGTCTCGCAAAGTACCTCGTCTCTCTGTTTCCCCTCCTTTCGACACCTACCTTCACCCACGGCAGTACATGGTCACCAGGTATCGATCGCGTCGAGTCTCCCTCCCCAGCTACCGCCACCAAACCTCCCCTCGACCTACTGCTCCGTACTTCCCGATTGCGAGTAACTGCTAGGCACTGCTAGGCATTACTGGGAATAGACCACCCGCGCACCAGTAGTGACGGAGAAACCGCAAGCTCTACAAAACTGACTCCATCATCTGACCCACTGCAGCTGGACTCGCCCAGTCAGCCTCATCAACATGCCGTCGCTAGGTATCGCGACCTGCTGTGTTTGCACTCTGCAACCTGTTACCCCGTATCGCACCCTTCTGAATCGCAAGGGAGTCCGGACCCCCTCTTTTTCGTTCCCTTTTGTTTCCCTCCGCTCGTTGATCCCTCCGGCATATCGAACAAGCCTCGTGTCTCCACCTCCACCTCGTTCTTTATCACCACCACCAACAACCCCGGTCTCCCAAGCGCTGTCACTACGGTCATGGCATGTGCCTTGACGCTCCCCATTTGATGCCTCCTAACGCCTCACGAGACCGTTGACAACATTGAGTATCTACAGACGCCCACTCGATCCAGAAAAAAAAGCCAACAACAGCGCAAAATAAAAAAAGTGACTCGTCTACTTTTCTTCTGGTCCATCCATTACAAGCTCCCTGGTCCTCCCTTGCAGAAGCCCCCGGCCCTCTCTTTACCTCTTCCGCTCTAATGAGCTGGTACTGCTCGTGCAGTCCATGTCAATCCTGCTTTCTGCTTCCTCCATCCAGTCAGTTTTGCTGTCCGAGTACATGAACGACTCTCTGTTACCTCTGGCTATTCAAATCAGTGGCTTGCACATCTCTGATCCATCCCTCCCCCAGGCTCCCAAGTCTAGACAACTCCTGTCACCGCTCCTCTAGTGGCGGAGCAACCAGGAATCCGAGAAACAGGTACATATGATCGACGGCCCATTTAGTCTGCTCCTTCTTCGATACTTTCCTCGGGCCTGGTGCGAGCAAAACTGGAGCAAAAACGAAAAAGTTTAATCTAAAGAAGACGACGACGAGGACAGGAGAGAAGGGGGAAAAAACGACAGAAAACCAGATACAGGCGGACTCCTTTCTCAAAACCTGCACTGTTGTCGTACCGCCTCTTCGCTACTGTGCCGCCTCCTTCCTCCCTCCTGCATTGGATTTGCTGGACTTGATTGGCCTTCGTTTGCCTTGTTGC